TTTAGTTTGATTCCATCCGGTTTATTGATTCTTGATTTTATTTCTTATGCTTTAGGAGTCTTGTTAATGAAGTCAGTTCCTAAGCCAACACAATGGGCAGTTGGGCCTATATTTTCTTCTAGTAGGTGCAGGATCTCTGGTCTAATACCTAGGTCCTTGATCTACTTTGAGTTCTGTGCAGGGAGAGAGAGGGGTTCAATCTCATTCTGCTACATATGGATTTCCAGTTTTCCCATCACCATTTTTTGAAGAGGCTATCTTTGCTCTAATATGTTTATGGCATCTTTGTCTAGTATGAGATAATTGTAGTTAAGTGGGTTTGTCTGTATGTCTTCTATTCTGTACCATTGGTCTTCATGTCTGTTTTAGTGCCAATACCATGCCTTTTTTGTTACTATATCTCTATAGTATAACTTAAGGTCTGATATTGTGATGCCGCCTGCTTCACTTTTCTCACTAAGGATTGCTTTGGCTGTTCTGGGCCTCTTATTTTTTCAGAGGGATTTCATGACTGATTTTCTATTTCTATGAAGAATGTCATTGGAATTTTGATGGGAATTGCTTAAATTCTGTGTAGCACTTTTGGTAACATGGCCATTTTGTCAATATTGATGCTGCCTATCCAAGAACATGGGAGATATTTCTATCTTCTAAGGTCTTCAATTTATTTATTTTTTTAGTCATAGATGAACACAATACCTTCATTTCCTTTATTTTTATGTGGTGCTGAGAATCAAACCCAGTACCTCACACATGCTAGGCAAGTGCTCTACCACTGAGCCACAAACCCAGCCCTTCAATTTCTTTCTTCTGTAGTTGTAGAGGTCTTTCACCTCTTTCATTAGATTGATTCCCAAGTATTTCATTTTTTTTTTAGGCTGTTGTGAATGGAATAGTTTTGCTATTTGCTATAGTTCAGTTGATTCATCATGGGTGTATAGGAATGCAATTGATTTATGGGTGTTAATTTTATATCCTGCTATTTTCCAGCCTTAAATTTTAATGGAAGGGTCAAAAGCCAATAATAACCAAGAGACTTTTTTTAAGTAATAAAGGAAGGTCTACTTTAATTAAGTTCCATTCGGGGCGCAAATTTCAACTTGCCCCTGCATTCCTTGTGCCCAGATGCCTGGCACATAGAAGGCACACATGTACATACATACTGGATACATTTTTAAAAGAATAGAGCAGAGAACCAACAAATATGCTCTCAGACATGACTTGATAATGTCAGAAGTATAGCTTTACAAATCCAAGGCTTTTCAAAAAATTGTTAACAATTATGTAGCTCAGTGGTAGAACACTTGGCTGGCACATGCAAGGCCCTGGGTTAGATTCCCAGCACCACAAAAAAATTAGCCACAACCAAAATGAAAAAAAAAAAAAGTTATACATTGGGAGATGTCAAGCTTAAAATGTTAAAAAAAATAAAGAAGTACTCTACACCATAAAGAAAAAGTTACAATGCAGATACCAGGAAACAATTCACCGAAACCAAGCCAGTCACTTTGACACAGACAAGGTGCTCAAGCCAATCAGGATATACACATTAAATTTTGGAAGTTAGCAATTTTGTCAATATTAATGCTGCTTATCCAAGAACATGGAAAAATTTCCATCTTCTACAGTCTTTTTGTTCCACATATATCAAATCTGCAGAAATTACAGATGACATCTAGTATACAAGATATAAGGGAATTTATGTTGTGTTAATGGACATTCAAATTGCCAAATCACTTTAAGGAGCAAATTTTCAAATTTTGGTTAAAGCTGAATATATGCATGGCCTAAACCCAGCTGTTCCAGTTAGAAATACTCTGAATAATATGCACAAGGGTACACATTGTGTGCAAGGCTATTCACTGTAGCACAACATATGTAAGGAAAATTGGAAACATTCCCAGAAGGAATAAAGTGTGGAATAATATTGAACAGTGAACTTAAGATGTGTCAATGTAAAATCTCAAAAACGGTGATAAAGCAAGTTGAACAAGGAGWCGTTATGCCTACCTCAATCTCTATGTGACTTTTCTTGGGGCATTCTGTTGCTGTGGACCTATTCCCTTAACTGCTCTTGGGTTGTACAAATAATTATTTAAATGTTTGGAAATGAAAACACTAAATTTTCAACTAAAATTAACCATCTAAAGCTAAGAAATTTTAATTTGTGCGACTRTATCAAGACAATTAGCATAGTTATGTTGAGAGCTTTAATATCAGACTTGGGCTTACCGAAGTGGACTCAGGCTACTGAGCAAATAACTTCATCTATAAATTAAAACACTTTTTCAGGGTATCAGACAATGATTACCCAACTAATCACAGCTAAGCCTCAAAACTATGTAAGAGATCTATGTAAGCAAAATATTGATTGCCTAAGTAGTTCTCAAACCATGTTTCTTGCTTAAATGTCTAGAATATACTTAATATGAAGATATTAGTTATCACAAATGGTATTGACSACTTAATTTCAAATTATTTTCTGCTTTCCAATACTTTATTTTCACTCATCCCACAAATGATGAGTGTCAGGTAAATACAAGTCACTGTGCTAGGTGCTAGGAATGTGTTGAATGAATAGCCACCATACAACTTTGTATTTCTCAGTGCCTTTTATTTCAGTTCTTTTGACTTATCTGTCAGAAAGTGAATATATACATACAAAATTGYAGACAACTTTTTAAAATGGTTTTATTGATAGCCAGTCACTGACATCTTTATTTTGAAAGTTTGAATTGTCCAGTATGTCTAAAGTGCATTCTTGCAGCTAATCAATAGCAGCATTTGTTTTGCTTATAAAACCTTTAAGAAATACTCAGACCAGAGCTGAAAAAGATCAGAATAAAAAATAAAGTATGATCTAGATATATTCTTCCTTAATTACCCAAGACAAACACTTGCTTGAATTAGAGTTCATAAGTATACAAGAAATGTACAAAAAAAAAATAGTATTATAAAAAAAGTTCATACAGCCATGAGAAAATGGAGGGGGGGTCTTCTATTAATATTAAATATGGCAAGGTATTTAATATACAAAGTTTGCTGAATCATAGATGTCTTTGGATCCAAAGGGGAAACTTTGTTCTAGGCCAGTGTATGATATAGCTGAGGTCTGTAACGTTCCACAAAGCTGGAATTCTACAAGATGTCTCAAGACTGCTTCTGGCATGGCTTTGAAATTACCAACACAAATGACAATGTTCTTTCACTACTGGGACCGTCAGTTCATGGCTTCTTGCGCCTAAAACATAAAAACCAGCATTTAGTGTTGTTGAATTTTGCAATTAGTTACACATTCATGACAAACAAATCTTAAAAAAAAAAAAAATTCAAGTYCTTCTGAGAAAGCAGTTATTATAGAAAACAGGATTTCCCATCCTTACCCTGTTGAAACAATTTTTCAAATTGCCTTAGGAACCCAAGGGTTACAAATGTTATAGATATTTGTAAAGAAGGGGTTTTACTAAAATAGGAGAAAAGAATAGGTCAGATTCCCTAGGAAATATTTGATAGAAGAGGAAAGAGTGATTGTTTTTCTACCATGAATTTGGGCCTTTCATTTAATTTATTTATTTGTGAACACTCACTCCTATATGAAGAACAAGAAGCCAGCCRGGAAAGAAAACCACATAAAGCCATTATTCTCAACTAAAGCCTTCAGTCCTTCCTCCTCCCAGGTGCTCAGTTCAGCCTCAGAAAGCTTTAGGAGCAGTGGTAGAATACAAACAGGAGTCACCAGTCTCCTATCACCTCCTGCCCTTGCTGCTCTAATGGTGTCAATAGCCCTCTCAGATGCTCAGCATGCGGATGCCTACTGCAGGCTGCCAGGAAGACCCACATAATCCCAAGAGAAACTCAAATCCACATCTGCTCTTGAAACCAAGGGGACTGTTAGGAGGGTGCTGAGGTGGAAATTCTAGCAGAGGAGGACACAGAGCAGGGCGAGCCACAGTGCTCACTTAGGCTGCGCGTGATGCTGATATCCAGGTCCCAGCTGAGATCCTGCTCTCATCTCCACAGCCACGGAACACTGAAAGGAAAGTGACAAAAGAGGAAAAGGTTAGCTCCTCTTAACAGTCTATAAACATACCTGTTTAGATGGGCTCTCCAAGGTGAAAGCCAACATTGCTCTCTAGTTCAGCAAAGACATTTGGATTAGACAGAGACACAGACACACACTTGAGATTACTTCTGGCATAGGCCACAAATACTGGGAGCTGGAAAGTCTTCGAAGGTTCTCCAGGTAACTTCCTCTCATTTTAGATAAGAGGAGTTCTTGAGAAGTCAGTGGCCAGAGTGAGAGCATGGCCTCCTGACCCCCACCTTCCTTCCCTCTCCTGAGGGATAACAGTCAAGAAGGAACACCTGACAAGCTGCTTCTAAGGAAACTCCCATCCATCTGCCGTTATTCCCAAGTGATACTCTTCGGCTCAATGTTTTTTGTTGTTTTGTTTTGAGATGGAGTCTTGCTATGTTGCCCAGGCTGCAATCCTCCTGTCTCAGCCTTCTGGGTAGCTTGGATTATAAGCATGCACCACCATACTTAGCTCCTTTGGCTTGATTCTTTCCTTTCTTTCTTTATTTTTATTTTTTATTATTTTTTATTTTTTTGCTGGTACTGGGAATTGAACCCAGGGTGCTCTACCACTGAGCTATAATCCCAAACCTTTTATTTTAAGACAGGGTCTCATTAAGCTGCCAAGACTGGCCTTGGATTTGTGGTGATCTTGCTTCAGCTTCCCAAGTAGCAGAATTATAGGTGTGCAACATCACGCCTGCCTTGGCCTGATCTTTAATTCTTATCCCCCTATACTGAAAACTGGGGYTCTGAACTGAAAGCTCTAGTAAGACCAGAACTGAAGAAATGCAAATGCCCTGCAAGTGTGTTAGGAACAGGCCTCCAAGGCTATACTGGCAACAGGATATGGTGCCTCAGCATCTTCTCAGAGCATAGAGCTATAGTTGCAGAGTTTAAAACATGACATGCCTAATTTTTAGCAAGCAAATATTTAATTTTTACCCCTACCCTTGTTTCTACATCGGTCCATTCAGACTCTGTACCATCTGGTTGGGCAGGTGCTACTGTGGACGATCTTCGTTTTCGACTACTAAAAAAGGGGAAACATGATGCAACAATTATTTTTGCATCTAAGAACAAGAAAAATATTAGAAATAGGGAAAACCATCTATACCCCTTTTGAGAATTAATGATAAACTTCACAGGATATTCTGTCCATCAAGAATGAGCAGCTAAGCAAACAACAGCCCTTTAAAGARACATCATTGGTGATCACTCACCCACTTGGTGATTCTTGTTTCAAGGTCTCAATCTCAGTAAACTGAACAGATTGTCCACCACCCCTTGTTTTATAAACATCTCCCTAAAGCCAAGAGAAAAGGTCACTATTATACTTTTGATACATCCAAACCATAAACACACATGTATAATGGAAACTCCCGCCCACAAAAACAGATGGAATGCTGAATCTATACTAATCAAAACATTAGAAATTTGAATATATCTCTCATTTTAAGAAGTACAATATGATCAGTAACAATCATAGTTGTGGGGAAAAAATTATTTTTTACTTATATTTTAAAACCTAAACTTCACCAAAGATCAAGAAATCTGTCAGGAATTTTTACATATTCTTAGACACTGAATTTTCTCCTCTGGTGTGCCCTCTATTCACACAAAGTACAATCTTATTTGTAACTACCCTCTAAACTGAATTTGAGATGAAAAGCTTTTCCCTCACAGTCTTGTCTTTTCCTTCCCTAATTATTCAATGACTCCATGATCAAAGAAAAATTCTCTTACAAGCAGGCAAGTCTCTTTCTGGGAAAGGGCTTTAAGTAGCTCAATACTGAGTAATTTTCACGTCAAATTTTATTGTAGTTTTTTTTTAATCTTGAACTGACAGCAAAGGTAAGAGTTCGTCATTTAGGTTTACTTTTTTTGTATAAGTTAAAGCTAAATATAAAGTATATTATGCATCTGGAATTCTAAGAAACCCAAGAATCTATGCCTGTTTAAGCAGATTTAGTCCCAGTTTAGCAGATTTGTAACCTAAGCAGTTAATTTTATGCTAATAAAAAAGTTACATCAGATGCCCACTTATGTTTCAATTGACACAGACTGTGACATCAAGGGAGTAAAAGAGCAAATAGTTCTTGTTAAKATGATTTTTTAAAATATTTTTTTCTCCTGTGTAAATTCATTTTTACCTTAATTAGTTTAGTTTCAATCTCCCCATCGGAGGCTAGTTCCTGGTGAGTCAGCATGTACTTCTCACACTTAGCTAGTGCCTTTTCATTTGCAACAGATACTGTGATGGCATGAGGGACATGTGGCTGCATGACTGTTTCAGTTTGCACGTTAGAGGCGGGCTTATGATCTACCCATCTGTCCCCTGCAGAGCGTGATCGTCTGTGTCTGAGACGGATTGGTGGTGCGTTCTGATCAGTTGAAAGAGGAATTGAGAAACAAGCATAACCCAGAATTAATTTAAGGGCACTGCTAGAAGTGCAGCAGGTTTGGCTGTTATTTTATGACAGTATCAAGTCAAATCTTTTCAAAAGCTAAAGGTTATCTAAGTAATTTAAACATTCTCTTTGTACTTAAACACAAAACCTACAAACATCTTTTAATAGCAGCTTGTGTATTACATATTCTACCTGGGAGCTTCCCTTCAACAGAGGATGAAAAGAAAAAAATCTRGCAATGATGCTAATTCTTCCTGTTCAAGAAAAACAATTCATATTACATTCTTGATCAAAAATCAGTATTTATGTCTGCTTTTGAGAGGCAATCTATTAGATCAGCAACTCTGCTGAAAGCAATGATATCATCAATAAAATCCCTAAACATCTTCTAGGCATCTAAAGAAAACACTCCTTATACAGAGGCAAAAAAAAATTACAGCTGATAAAGCTTTAAATAGCTAAATACTAAAGAAAATAAGGTATAATAAGAACCTCATGCAAAACATGTTAAAACAATGTAAACTACTGAGTTAAAATATCTCAAAACAACTTCTTGAAAGTTCAAATACAATAATGGCTAAAACTTACCAACTAACTTTTTCCCAAAACATTTCTAAAGGTTCCAAGAATCAAATAAAAAATACAATGTCAAATCAGTTTCTACCATACAAGAAAAACTAGTTGCTTCCATTCAAATGCCATATRAACCTAGTAAAGTTACATACATGACAGTTATTACAGTTAAGTAATTTTGTGAAATCTCCCATTTATAAAATTGAAAGCAATGGAAAAAAGTCTACCATAGGCCAAATTCTTCAAAGCTGGTCAAGTATGAAGATCAATTTCAAAATGCACATCTGAAGAACTAAATCATTTTCCCTACGTAATTACAAGAAACAAATGAAGTAGTAGTGACAATTTTAGTTATATACTATAGATATGGTATACATGGTACAAATACCATATATTTTATATATAGAATGGTCAATATAATTTGCTGCTAAAGATGCTGCTGGGTTAACTCAGGCAAGAAACTTTCCATTCTTGAAATGCTCTGATTAATAYTGAATAAGAAAGACTGGCTCTTAGGATCTACCATTTAGCAAAAGTGAGTCTTTTTTTTTTTTTTTTTAAATTGGGGTCAGCACATCCTGAGTGCAATGGATAAGCCTCGCCCAGGGAAAACCACCTTTGTGATCATGGTATCTCCCCTGCCAGGCAAGTATAGAAGTGGGTCTTCTTGAACATATTTATCAATAATACATCCTGAAAAAGGCTTGCAAAGATGATGGTCCATATAATCTATTAGTGTTCAAGACAGACATTTAAAATTTTTTTCCTCACTAAAGTAAAGTTCAGTCCAGCTGACAATCTTTGACCAATAAACCTGGACACACAGATACCAACCTAAGAGTAACTTTTCTGCTGCACTTCTAAAGAGATTTTGATTTCAAGTGAGAAGTCAAAGTATCTCTAGTAAATCCTCTTAAGTATTTCAATCTCAAATTAGATAATTCATTACTGCTGACCMGGTGTAAACAAGCTTTGAATGGTTTTTGGTTTATAAACATTCATGAAATAAGAGGATTGACTAGAGTTGATMAGAAAGACCATTCACCATGATTTGYTCCCATAAAGACAAGGCAAAATCTGCAGAGTAAGAACTAAAGAGACTAGAATTATCTGTAGCCTTGATCAATACCTTGGGCTATGTCACCATTCATTAGTAATCAGGAATGCAGGCCACCTAAATGAATTTTTTTTTTTTAGGGTGTGTGTGCTGGGGATTGAACCCATGGGTACTTTACCATTGAGCTATACCCCAGTCATTTTTTTGGTTGTTTTGATTTTTTTCATTTTTTAAAAAATATTTTTTTAGTTATAGACAGGCACAATACCTTTATTTTATTCATTTATTTTTATGTGGTGCTGAGGATCAAACCCAGTGCCTCACATATGTAGGCAAGCGCTCTACCACTCAGCCACAACCCCAGCCCTTGACTGTTTTTCTTTTCTTTTCTTTTTTTTTTTTTTTTTGAGGCAGGGTCTTGCTCAATTGGTGAGGCTAGCCTCAAACTTGCAATCCTTTAAGTCCCTGGTATGATAGGCATGTACCACTGCACCCAGCTATWCCCCAAACTATGCAYTGAAAATCTAAAGCATACTTACTGTAAGTTAAAATTTGCTTAGAAGAAAAATACTAAAAGAGTTATGTGAAGATTTTACTAAATTTAATTCACAATATTAATTTGGCCATTTTTTCAGATTCAAAGGCACTCATCTTCAAAAGAAAAATACGAAAGTGAATTAATTTTAAACACCCTTTAGTGAAACAAAGTCCTTGTAACTTGTGACAAAGGCTTGGATATTAAAAGCAATTTACTGGACAGGAAAACTGAGTAGTTTCAAAACAACTGAACTAGACTCTTCAAAACAGCCAATGTCATAAAAAAATCAAAGGGGGAATCATTTTATATTAAAAGAGATTTAAAATATAATTGCCATATGCAGTACATTCACCTTGATAATATTATTACAGATTAAAAAGAATAGCTGTCATTGATTCAACTGGGGAAATTAGAGGATATTTAGTCAATTAATGTTTGTTCACTTCCATAGGTATGATAAAGATTGTGGTTACACAGGACATTATCCTTATTTTTTAGGAAAAAAAAGCCTATTACTTTTTTCAAAGATTCATGGGAAAAACATGTTTACATAAAGTAACAGTGTTAGGTCTAGGTAAGGGGGAAAAGAAGTTACTATACCATTTTTTCAACTTTTTTTGTTTGTTTGTTTGAAAAAGTGTAGTTAAATCTGAGGAAAGGAACTAAAAGAAAAAAATGAAAAGTATATACTAAGACATCCATATTTGGGCTGGGGTGCAGCTCATGGTAGAGCAGGTGCTCTCCAATTCTGTGCAACAAAGCACAGACTACCCTGGGATGAGCCATATTGGCCTGCATTCATGAACTCACAGGGCATTACTTCTGTTGTCAGATGTGTTTAGGCTTTTTCCAATAAAGAGCTCATGTTCAATTTCAGGGTGATTCAATCTTTCAAATTAAGTGACAGAAAATTTAGACCTTGTTCATGTTGGCGCCCATTCATCTTTCCATGGAACTTCTGGAACAGTTATAAAAAACCAAAAGAAATAAAATCTATTATTGTAATGCTTTAAAATAATACTGGAACTAACCCTGCAGCAATGATCCTCTTCTACTTCTATCTCATTTCTGAATGTAGGAACCACCTCCCTGCCTTCAGTCCAGTACATCCCTCGCCTTCTGTCTGATACGATACAAGTTTTACTTTGTCCTGGCTCCTGCTGCCTACGCCTTGCAATAGATGTAACATTGACAGGTGTGTTGTACGGAGGAATTTTCTGCTCCCATTCCGAAATACAGGAAGCTACAGAAATGCTGCTGCAAGAGTTAGAGCGCCTATGTAGCTGTGGCTGGCTCATGAGTTGCTGGCCGTTGGAAATCTGAGCAATATAGTTACTAGAAAGCTAGAAAAATTGGAGAGAAATTAATGAGTAAGACTGAAAAATGGAGAGAAACAATTCAATACTTTTCTATAATTTTAGCATATGAAGATTTAACATTATAAGTACTTGCACCGTTATTGAATTTTTTGTACTACATTAATGTTTATACTAGATTTAAAAAGTTTTAAGTATAAGTTTAAGAAATATAATAAATAATATAAAACAAAAAAGTCAATTCTCATAGAATTTTTCTAGCACTAAACTATGATACCACTATAGGAAACTTACAGGCACTGATGATGGAGAAACAGATCTTTGAGTAACTTTCTCTCGATCCCGCTCCCGAGAGGGTCTCTCAGGTTTTTCAGTTTTGGGTTCAGTAACAATAGCCTTCAGCTGTTTCAGTTTTTCATCTTTAACCCAGAGTTTATTCTGCATCTCCAGCTGGGTGGCCGCCACTCGACGTTCCTACAGATTATCAATGGTGATTTATATTCTAGTTCAGTCACACCAGAAAATGCACCAAATTACTGAATTTCCTAAAACATGACAGTTCTTCAATACTTCCAAGATGAGCAAATACCACCAAGTCTACCATAAGTCAATACTTCCAAGATGAGCAAATACCACCAAGTCTACCATAAGTACAGTAATTTACTTGACTAACTACAATTTGAAAAAAAATCATCCAATTCTAAGATAAGCACTATAAGAATGACACTCACACATTCTTTTTGCCACTTCATTGTTGTTTCTGTCACCATGCCTTGCAACCTGGCTTCTAATCTGCGTTTGTCAGAAAACTGTCTTTGAAGTTTCTGATTCTGGGCTTCAAGTTCCTGTTGTAGATTGCGTTTATCTTCTTCATAGATAGTAGTTGTTTTCTCTAAAATCTCAATCTGGGAAGGTAGACCAACACATTTTATATTTGGTATACAGACATTTTATGTAGCCATAAAATAATCTTTCTCAATTTGCTCATGAAAGTACATCYGGGGCTGGGGATGTGCCTCAAGCGGTAGCGCGCTTGCCTGGCATGCGTGCGGCCCGGGTTCGATCCTCAGCACCACATACCAACAAAGATGTTGTGTCCGCAGAGAACTAAAAAATAAATATTAAAAATTCTCTCTCTCTCTCTTAAAAAAAAAAAAAAGAAAAAGAAAGTAYATCTGAATTCCCATTTCTGGAAGTAAGAACTTATTATTACTTAATATTATACAAATTCCTTACCAAAAGACAAAACTACAGCTAAACTTCAGGTGAAAATTCTTTTCCCCTAAAACTAAGGCCTAAAACTCTAATTTCTTAGGCTGTTTTCAGAGAAAACTGTTGTATAGTGAACACTATTGGTTGAGACTCATTTATCTCTAGTATGCAAGTAAACTCCCCCAAACTTCTAAGTAATCTCTGTAAATGAGCGAACTAAACATTACACAGCATGGCAATGCACCCCAATAGGACTGTTTTTCCTTCTACCCCACAGGAAGTTTGTACTCTTTTTACAACATGACTTGTAAACCAAATTCAGATCCAATTAACATTCACTGAGTATACATTATATCCAAGGCACCATTCTGGCATCTTTATATTATCTCATTTAATCATTTATTTCAACTTCTTTTTTTAAAGCATATGGAGGAAATATTTATAATAAATTGAAAAGTTCTATCACCATAGCTGAACTCTGTAAGTTCACTTACACTTGTTTGGGTCACAGAACATTCTCTTCAATGGCTACCTCTAACATAAGAGTACACTATTTCTTTTCTCCTTTCTATGCTTTTCATTCACATTTCCTCCTCTTTGGGGTGGGATAAAGATAGTAATAACCAAATGATAGATGAATAATAGCAAATAATCAAATGATAACTTAATAAGCAACAATAACAGGTACATGGAACAGAAATAGTCAATCAGACCAGAGCTGAATGACCAACACTTATAACATTATAATAACACAAACCTTATATTCCAAAGTTTTATTTTTCTTTTCYAGTCGTTCTATTTCCAATTTCTGTCCTGAGATCACCTTTTCTTTTTCATTCAGTTTTCCTTGAGCGTAATTTTCTTTATTTAAAACAGCATTGTCAAATTCTTGTAACAAAGTTTTAAAAGTATTAGCTGAAACAAAAGCATGCAGGCTGTTTTACTCCAATTGCAAAATAACCAAGGAAATCTACTTCTCTTAGCAGACACTAGATAAAACAGAGCTATTCAGCAAATCTGTGAGAATCATCTACAAGGAGAAAACAAGTTTGGAAAGAAATAAGGAGCCTGTTACTCAAATCTGTAAGAGATGTTCATAGAACTGTTTAAAGCTGAAAAAAGTCTTTCATTTTGCACTGTAGTATCCCCCTCCCAACACTTCCAGGTAAATACRTATGTATTTGCCTTTGTTTGCCTTTGTAGGCAAAGATGGAAATAATACCAGGTTTGAGAGAGCTGGACTGAACTGAAATCCCTGGTACACCAACCACTTGCCAGTTAGGACCCGGGCTGGTTACTCAGATACATTCACTTACTGTGTGCAAGGCTATTCACTGTTCTTCAAGACTTTCACACATTATCTCYTTTACCTCACAACTTCCTGAGGTAGAAACAACTACAATCCCCATTTTATAGCAGAGAAATTAAGAAATATTCCTTTCTGGCCATCACTGACAGTAAAAGGAGGGGGCAAACCAACTTTTTCTTTGGTCTGGAAAAAATTCCTGTTACTCTAATTATACAATGACTTGAGTACTACAAAATATAGAGATAAATTCTTCCTTAAAAATGCATCCTAACTGTGGGGAAAAGGCACATTCATACATTGCTGTTGGGATTGCAAATTGGTGTAGCCAACATGGAAAGCAGTGCGGAGGATCCTTGGAAAACTGGGAATGGAACCACCATTTGACCCAGCAATCCCTCTCCTCCGTCTATACCCAAAGGACTAAAAAACAGCATATAACAGGGACACAGCCACATCAATGTTTAAAGCAGCACAATTCACAGTAGTTAAACTGTGTGGAAACAACCTAGATGCCCTTCAGTAGATGAATGGATAAAGAAAATGTGGTGTATAATGCAATGGAATATTACTCAGCATTAAAAGAGAATAAAATCATGGTATTTGCAGGTAAATAGATGAAGCTGAGAATATAATGTTAAGTGAAATTAGCCAGTCCCCAAAAACCAAATGATTTATCTGATTTAAGGATGCTGATCCATAATATTTGGGGCGCGGCGGTAAATGAACTCCAGATAGGGCCAAGGGGAAAAGGGAAGGGAGGGGGTATACAGGGGTAGGAAAGACGGTGGAATGCGATGGTCATCATTACCCTAAGTACATGTAAGAAGACATGAAGGTTTTGACTCTACTCTGTGTACAACCATACATGTTCTTAGTGTCATATGAAAAATTGTGCTCTATATGTGTAATATGAATTGTAATACATTCTATTATCATATATATCAAATTTTAAAAATTAAAAAATTTTTTAACAATTGCATCCTTCTACAAAACTCTTTCAATTTCTGAAGTTAAAATGACTGCWCACAGGTCTGCCCTTACATTGCTTGTTAAACTCATCAATCATCATTTGTCGCAGATGATGCCGCTTCTCCAAGGCTTCTATCAGCCTTGGAAGGGTCTGCTCATCATTGATATCCAAAATTTCACATGACGGCAAAGGTGGGAAACTCTGTAAAACCACTTCGGCAACCAATGGTTCTGTATTGAATTACAAAAAAATTTAAAAGTTACATAATAGAAAAAGATATTAAGCAAGTTTAATACTATGATTAGAGCCCCAGAACAATTAACCATGGAATTTCTTGAGTTGTCATATATTTTTTTTAATTGTATGGAYACAATATCTTTGTWTATTTTTATGTGGCGCTGAGGCTCGAACCCATTACCTCACACATGCGAGGCAGGTGCTCTACCACTGAGCTACAGCCCCAGCCTCATCTTACTTTCTTAAAAATGAGAGAGAATGCAACAAAAGAAATATCATTTATATTTTGGTTCAAAGTTTTTTGCATTTGGTTCTTGAGAAGAAGGGATATAAAAAGTTCTCTTATGTGAAATAGATTTTTTTAAAATTAGAACAGATCAGTGGGTAAATGTACCAAATCATACCATCTCCAACTGGGCCTCCTCGAGCCTGGTTTCTATATCGTCTCCCAGGGGTTAAACCACATATCACCTTGTCTATAGGTCTAGCTACTTCAACTTCTTGGGTCACTTCTGCAAATCTCATGACTTGCTAAAATATAAAACAAATGGAGTTTGTGAAAAATAAGCATATCCAAGTCATTCTTCATAAATGACTAAATAAAGCAATAATAGGTTAGTTATTAGTAAACTTTCTGTACCCATTGTTTCTGTATTAATTTATAAAATGTTCAAAATCTCATTCTTCATATCCAAATAACTGCTTTTCCTAGGGAAATTTGACTTTATATGATAAATAAGTTAAAATTACCAAGCTTTCTTCATAGTCTTCAGCCTTTGGATTCACACACACAATCATACGTACTTTTCCTTCCCCGTCAAAATAGTTCTTGAACAGATGGGTTAACTTTGAATCTCGATATGGAACCATCTATAAATACATGCAAATATAAATTCATAAGACAAAATCCCACACAAATAAATCTATACAAGTAACAAATGAAGGCTGCTGCTCACCTTGTTAGTTCCATACATTTGGTTCTCTCTCAGAACTTCCATACATGTTCTTAGTGTCATTAGTGACTGATTAATGTTACCTGAAAGAAAAATAAACACAGAAGATATTTGGGATGGGGAGGACACACAATATAGTAGCTAAAGTATGTTCTGTTTGCSTGTATAATCTCAACTTCACATAACTATTAGATGGAAATTGCAAATTTTCATGGCTTCATCTAAAGAGCTGTCCATCATGGCTCAGGCTGTCTTTCAGTAGTACTATTTCTACATAGGTTAAATAGGYGAACTTCAGAGATTCTATTAAAAGAATTTCCAGCAAATATAACATTACACTTTATGCCCATAGTTTCTTCCAAATCCTGTGAAAGAGTATGTCAGATGCAGACACTGAAAATCTCATATTAAAATATTTTCTCCAAAGCATGACCATTTCAGGCTTCAACTTGCTCCAACCCAGGGTCTGACCCTTCCTGTACCCAGAGAGCATGTTTCTTCCAGTCAGGCTAGTGTCTTAGGAGCCAGCTAACTCTGTCCCTTCTACATCTCTACAAGGATTTCTTAAGCAGCAGACTTTATGACCAATCTTAATTGGATCAGTCAAGACAGCCCGAAGGCTTGATTAAGCCTCCAAAAATGCAGATCTTCCCTCAAAGTGCATCAGAATGTGTACATTTTGGAACCCTGATTAAGGTCACCTAATTCAATCATGTTTTCATCAGACAGATGATTTAGATTAATTTAGAGGCTCAGTTTAATGGTCAATGCTATTTCTTTAGTTATACTGGTTTAGAATCAATCTATATTCTCTAAACTAATCATGCTTGAATCATTCACTCCTAAACAAATAATAAACTGACACTGCAAATTTTCAAAAGCTGTAGCAATACATAAGTACTATGTTTTTACTTACCAGCTTCACGCAACCTGTTCCCTTCTGCTTTAGTTCGGTTAGTTCTTTCACTTCCAGCAAGATCTACCAAGGACAACTGGCTTATAATGATTTGTTCCTTTTCCTGAAAGAGATCACAAAGTCAATGATCAAAGTCAATCACAAGTTAAAACTGGTTTATAATTCTTTAAATAGAATCAAGCCAACAAGTTATTATGTCTTAATGAATATTTGTATAATACAAAATGCACAGGAGGGACAGAAGATATGTTTTAGAAAGTTACTAAATATGAATATGTTCATGACGTTAAGTGATCACTTGACCGTTGTYTGTTCTTCCTTCTGCATCAAGCCATAAGTTTGCAAAGAACAGGGACTCTCTGCCTTTTTTACCACTTTGTCTCCAGTACCCTGCACAATGCTGAGCACTCAGGAAGAACTCAATAAATACCTGCTGAACTATCTTAAAATTTTAGTCTAGAGCAGAACTATCTTAAAATTTTCTATAGTCAGGTTTTAATAACTGAGGGCTGGGGATATAGCTCAATGATAGAATGCTTGCCTAACATGTATGRGGCACTGAGTTCCATTCCCAGCACCAACAYCAAAAGGGGAAAAAAACAAAAAAGAAGTATTTAATAATCTAATAATTTCACAGTACTCTAAATAATTTTTATAAAAAGAAATGAAAGAATTAAAGTCAATTGATATTATAATATTAGAATTTAAATTCCTTTTACCAAAAAATAATAATAATTCAAAGGAAATCAAGTATACACAAACGGTTTATTTATAACCAATTTCTAGCTGGCATTTATAAAGTGGTGACCATAAGCCAAACACTGGACTGAGACCTTTACATCATTACCTCTCTTAAGTCTCACAACCTTATGAGTAACTTCTATGATAGGTTAGAGATAGTAAATAAAAAAAACTTAGAATTCAAATCCTGGTGCTCCTCAGTAGCACCTTCTGCTGCCATCCACAAATCTCCAAAATGCCACAATTTCATGATAGAGTCTGAATATGATTACATTTTAATAGMTTTAAGTTATTAAATTATGTACACTTGGGCTCAAACAATGTTTAGAACTAATATAATTCTGACAGCACCACAGGTCTAAAGATCAACTGGTGGCCTATCTACCAAGAGGTGAGCAATTCAGAACCCTGGCCACCTATTGAAGTGTGCCTGCCCTAAAAAGTGAACTGGTGACATTTAAAAACCATTAACTGAATTTACGCATAAAAAGTAAAATCAGAGATAAAACAATCAATGGTACTTTCTTCTTATTTTAAAATATATATTTTAAGATTTTTAAACCCCTTCCACAGCAAAATTTCAGGTTCAATAGGCAATTTCCCAAAACTACACTAATAGGAAAAAACAAAAAACAAACAACAACAAAAAAARMCACAACATTTTTGGTATCATTAGCTACCTATATATTAATTTTGGAGCAACGTTCATTGCAATGACACCTCCCTAATTTAATTGTAATTCCAAAAAATCAAGGACTGAGTTAGTACAAGACAAACTCCTGACATTATAACTTTACCTGTAAGACATTGTCTCCATCTGCATCCAAGGGAGCCTGAACTAATTTAATGTTGAACACACTGTGGGAACGGCTGGATTCCCGATTCAGATGGGTATTAGCAATACGTCTCTTTTTCTGTCCTATGATGGCAGAGAAATCATTGATTATACTTGAATTCAAACATTTCATTATACTTGCTTTCTAATAAAAAAGGACTCGGTCAAATTATAGTAATCATTCTTAGAGTTAATCCATCATTTTATATTTTTCTAACTCTAACCTCTCCAGAAAACTTCAAAGGCCTCCTCAGTAGATTTCACTTCTACTTCTGTACATCCTGCAACATACATGTTATGGTTCTTATCTTCTCGAAGCATTTTAGATTGTGGAAGTCTATGGCAAAGAAAAAAAGGTTAGCTTCCTAAATTATGAGAATCTAAGGTATTCATTTAAGACCAGAACTAAAATGCCAAGATACAACACACATTTTTAATGAGATAAGCCTACTTAAGACCCCAGACAAATAATTAATGCAAATAAAATTATAAGGATATACAGTCAAGATTAGTTACATAACCAAATAGGAACCAATTTTGTTTTAAAAGCTTTGTTCTAGTTTACCCTAACAAAGCACATGAAACAACACTTATAAACAATTAAAAGACCATAGTAGTATTAAAGCAATATCACATGTACAGGTTAAGCATCACAATTTAGTATTTTCCTAATCTAAAAAGATCAGAAGATAGAATTGGTTCTGACCTTTGCAGCAACAGCAGAAAACAAATTCATAAAGAGTTCGGTATACATCAGGAATGACAATTTTTTCAAAGTGGCTTGTCAAGTTTTAGTCTTTATGGTATGAGGGCTGAGTAAGAGTACATTTAGATGCAGTCTTGTGAATGGTAAGAGTAGAGACATAACAGCTAACATCACTGATAGTCAGTAGCAGACTTTTCTAAAAGCAAGGAGGGCTTGAGGTAGCAGTCAGCCCAGAGCCAATGAAAAGCAACCTACATGCAAACATGCTACAGATGCCAACCACTAATATAACTATACCCTTCTCCTTAAGAAAAGAGCCAATCCCATCACATACATAAATTCTGTGTTCCTCATGGGTGTGCTGCAAGTGTTCCACCTAGCAAAGGAATAAGGAAGAAGTTACTGTTTCTAYTGCAGCCACCTCACAGCAACATGGTCAGTCCAGACTACATGACAGTCACAAGAGTCATATATTTAAAACCCTCCACTTATAATATTTTTTTTCTTTGCATTAAAGACCACTAAAAGTGAAGGGCTCAAAAAAAGCAGTCCTAACGCCACAATAACATATCAGAATTTAGTGCCAATTTAGCACCTTTATGAGTTCATCAAGGAGGTACAAGGAAGGCAACAAGGTACATAGGACAAGATAAAATCATTTAAAAGCAATCTCAATTAAAACAGACCAATAAAAACTTGGCACATGCCCATACATGAAAGTTATCGGAAGCAATGAAAGACATGACAGAAACTCGGGAAAATAGGCACACTCAAAACCAGAGTCAAGACAACTCATAGTTTGAAGCAAATGAGGAAGTAAATAACAAAACGGAAAAGTTATTAGATATAAAAAGCAATTGTCCTGTAAGGTCCTTACACTTTCATTTTTCTCTCTCTAACCAAACCCAAGTATTTTTTAATACCAACATCTCAAGGGAACATAAAGACAGGTGACTCCAGAAATCAATCCCTTTGTATGATTCTCAATTGAGGAAGGGAAAAGTAGAGCAAAAGAAAACTGGGCAGTCTTCCTTCACAGAAAACTTATAGAATTAACACTGTGATATTCAGTTTGCTTAGCAACTTTGTAATTGTTTTTACCATCCTTGTGAAACTCAAAGATTCAAAATGAGGCTCCTCCATCAAAATATGGTTCAGGAAGAACTACAGAAATACTTTCATCAAGTATACCCCCTTCAACWGAGTTTATACACTTTCATATAAATGAATATAATGACACCTGTGCTCAGTCTAATAGTTTTCTAAATCCAGCTATTTCTCCAATGTTCCATTAGACATATGAAAATTATGTGTAAAATACAGGCCTTCATATTATTTATGTCCTGGGAGGCCCTAATGAATACAGCTTTGAAGATCAACCTTTAGCTAAAGAACAAAACCATCAATTCAGGAACAATACTGATATTAGACACAGATTCCAGAGTCAACCCTGGCACAAATGCAAACTTGTGATGCCAGAAGGCAAGACCCAAGGAAATCTAAGGTGTAGCCTTTTGACTGGCAGAATACAATGCAACGTCACTTCATATTAATGAAAGATGGTCTGAGAACTACTTGTGCAGACAACAGCTCCAGGTTCCGATCTGTAGAGAACATGTAGAGAACACAAGAGATGTCTGAAGAGGCTAGCCCCAAAGCGCACCAACAGGAATACTTTCTCAGTGAACGTTCAGGACACTCTCTCCTGATGCCTTAACCCACAGGTTCCCCAAAACACCTACTATTTAGTTAATGATAAAAACACTCATTGAATACTAACTACCTAATAAATAAGTTATTTCACTTCATCCTGAAAATAAGTGCAAATATCCTCATTAATAGCTGAAGAATCAAAAGCTCTTTGGGGTACAGTCACTTCCCCAAGGTTAATAGCTAAAACAGGGGGCTCTTTTTACTACTTACTTGGGTTTGATGGGATCAAATGGTACCTCTTCCAACAGATCATATATGTAATTATTATATATTTCAATATAGGAGACAAATACACCATAGACACTATCTTCATCAACTTCTCCTGCTTTGCAGAACTCTTGGACGTTTATCATATCTGCAAATTCTGGATCTATTTGTCGCCTAAAATATAAAAAACAAAACAAAAAAAAACAAAAAGAGTGATTTTATCCATTGTAATTATCAAAAGTAAACAATCCCAAGGGAAAACTAAAAGATTTAATACAGGGGCTGGGGTTGTGGCTCAGTGGCAGAGCACTTGTCTAGCATATATGAGGCACTGGATTTGAGTCTCAGCACCGCATATAAATAAATGAATAAAATAAAGGCCCATCAACATCTAAAAAAAAATATTTAAAAAAAAAAGAACACAAATGATTTGTCATCAAAGCAGATACGCACAAAGCAATTGAGAGGCACATTTCAAAACAGTGACTCTCATGGTATTCTTAAAACACAAATCTAACTTAAGAACACTTCTTAATTTTGACCTCACAGAGGTCAACTGTCAGGCCAGGCACACTGCCACATGCCAGCAAACCCAGTGTATCAGGAGGCAAGGACTACAAATTCAAGGCCAATCTGGACACCTTAGCAAGACTGTTTCAAAATAGAAAATAAAAAGGGTTGGGRGTGGAGCTCACTGATAGAGGATCCTAGGTTCAAACCCCAGTAATGGCCCCACCACCAAAAAAAGGTMAACTGTCAGACCAACTTATCTACATGTTCACCATTCCCCAGGCCTGCAGAAACCACAGGAAAGAACCCTGTGTCCACTGGGCCAGTGCTACATACAAATATAATTACTTACTTGCTAGAGGGGGTCTTTGKATTGGGCATGGCTTCTCTTTTCTGACGTTCTAATAAGGCATCAACCTCACACTGTATATCCATACTATTTCTATCATTAGTTTTAAAAACCTGAAGTAAGGGTGAAAATTAGACCATGTTTTTTAAAATTTGACTTAAATAGTAAGAAACACATTTAAGAAATAAGAAGTATTTAATATTTAAACATATTTAAGGTTTAAAAATGGCTCCAACACTTTGTTTTTTTCCTTAATACTATTATGTCCATAGGTGTCTTAGTCTTGAGTCTAAGAAATACTTACAACACAAAAGAATCATACTTACATATCGTTTAGCTTGAAACGACCCTATACTATTGAAGATCATGTCCAAACACCGAGGAAGGAGCCCTCCTTCCCCTGTAGAACCAGTCATTGTGTGAGTTTTTCCACTCCCTGTCACACCGTATGTAAAAAGAAGACCTAGAGTACAGTAAAGTCACAATGAGTTATATCTTGAAGTTYTCCACTTGTAACATTTTATATTAAAGACACTAAAATTAACCAGCTCAAGAAAAACAGGTCCACTATCACTCTAACAAATTAAATCTGAGCTYAATGCAAAGCATAAAACAAATATATAAATATCAAATGCTTTATCAGGAGAGGAAAATCTAACTTAACTCCAAGAAACATACCATTTTTGCCATGAATGAGGTCATCTACTAAGGGATTAGCCACAACATCGAAAAGCTCCTTTTGGGTTGTGTGAGTACCAAATACTTGCTTAAATGAATACTGAGTCTGTGGAGACAGAACAAATAAAATGTACTTAAATGGAATCCCTACATCTAGGCTGGAAATACCTATTTATACTTACAATGTTTCTTTATGAATATTTCAGTTGTAGGCACACAAAGAAAGAAATATGAATGGCCTTTAAACTTGGGACTTTTTTTTTTTTTTTTGTGGTGCTGGGGATTGAACCCAGAGCCTTGTGCATGTGAGGCAAGCACTCTACCAACTGAACTATATCCCCAGCCCCTAAACTTGGAACTCTTAGTAATCCACTAAAAAGTCAGTACATGCTTAAATTACAGCAATTACCAATTGGTATAGAACTCCAAAAGCACAGGTAATGAGAACAAGAACTGACAAAAGGGATTACAACAAATTATACTGAGTCTGTAGACAGATGAATGGATAAAGAAACATGGTATACATAGACAGTGGAGTATTCAGCCCTAAAGAAGAATGAAATTGCATCATATGTAAGAAAATGAACGTAACTGGAGGAAATCATGTTAAGTAAAGTAAGTCAGATTCACAAAAGCAAGCAACACGTGTTTTCTCTCATATGTGGAAACAAACAAACAAAACATGACCTGACAGTAGCAGAGAGACTATAAGGATACAGAAGGGGAACTGGAGGAAAGAAGATAGAGGGWGGGCAGATATTATCAAAGCACAACATAGCATGTACAGGAACGTCACAGCGAAACCTATTAATCTGTACAATTACTATGGGTTAGTAACTACAATTTAGAAAAAAACTAGCAAATATTTTCAGCCCCAACTACTGAAGAGAATGTAGAAAAGTCTTAAGTCCACCAATGTTTCATAGACTAAGACCTACTTTGTTTTAATTAAGTGACAAAGAAGAACAAAAGGTGTTGTCATGATTCATAGTCATTGATGTGTGAAAATCTTCAAGTCATTTTTTCCCATTTTCCATTTTTTCTTTATAAAGATGTCCTTAGGGAAATGAATACCAATTGTTTTTTTACATACAGCATTTTAAAACCAGAAATAAAACTATAAATATAATCTCACCTCTGAGTTCTTATGCAAAATAAGTTTTAAAAGATATMACAATTGCTCTTGCAGGTTTCCTGAATTTATTATAATTTTTCCTTCATGAATTTCAGAAAGCTATTTATTTGCTGTAAATAACTTAGTAGTTGTGAATATTCACTAGAACTTATTATGGATTACAGACTTTGCCAAATGTCTTTCCCTGTTTTACAGTTTTGATCTTAAATTCAACCTGCTTAGTTATCAATATTATGCTCCTTTGCACTTTTTATTTTTTTAAATACTTATTTTTTAGTTGTAGCTGGACACAATACCTTCTAAATGGTGCTGAGGATTGATCCCAGGGCCTCACACATGCTAAGCAAGCACTCTACCACTGAGCCACAACTGCAGCCCCGCCTTTGCACTTTTTAAATTAGAAGTTTTGTTCGCCAAAAGGAAACGTGGACAAATTACTATTCAAATATATAAGAACAATAATAGTAACTGAAAATAGCAGGCACTGATGACATTCCAGGCACAGTTAAAGTAGTAAATCATTTTGTTCTTAAACCTCAGATGTAGGTATAGCCATCCCTCAATATCAGTGGAAGATTGGTTCCAGACCCCCCAGATACCAAACTCTGAGGTCCATTTATATAAAATGGCATAGCAGTTGCATAAAACAAACACACAACCTCCCATACACTTTAGCTCATCTCTGGGTTATGGTAATACATAATACTATGATAATGCTATGTCAAGAGTGACACTATATTGATTAAGGACGRATGACAAGAAAGAAAGTCTGCCCATTTCAATAGAGATGTATTTTATTTTCCTAAACATTTTCAATCCATGGCTAGTTGAATTCATTGATATAGGACCACAGATCCAGGGCCAACCGCTAAATCTTATAAATGAAAAATCAGATCAAGTAACTTGTCAAAGACCACACACCTAACTCAGCTAGGCTAACTCCTGGGGAAATTTTCATTCTATTCACAAAAAGAACAACAAATCTTGGAATGGGAAGGATACACACAGGACAGTGCTGGGGGGGTCAGATAGATGTCTTCCAATTCTCAGGAACAATACCCTCCCTTCAAAGTAAAGCAAACTGAGGCCCAAAGAAGGAACATGCACAAGCTCCTAGACCACTGGAGACAAATCCATTTCCACTACAATGCTTTAAAAAAAAATTTTTTTTAAGTTGTTGATAGACCTTAATTTATTTATATGTGGTTGTGAGGCTCGAACCCAGTGCCTCACGTGTGCCAGGCAAGAACTCTACCAACTGAGCCGCAACCCCAGCCCCACAATGCTCTTTTAATTACAAAATGCTGCCATCTGTCATGAGGCAGTAACAATTTTTAATCCTCACCACATTTTTTTAATACATATTTGAAATCTTTATTTATACTTTCTTGAAATACAGAAAGCCAGTGTTCAACTCTATTACATCCTCAAAGACCTACTGTTCCAAAAGCCTTCCCAGATCATTCATTCATGCTTAATCCAAATTTATTGCATGTCTGACAGACAGGACACATAAAATGCACACCCCCTGATGTTTACATGATATAGTAGAAGAAAGAGACAATGAAAAAGTACAGTTGTACACCTCATAATAATATCTCAATGGCAGGTCAGTTAAGACAGTGTCCCTCTTAAGATTATAATGGAGCTGAAAAATTCCTGTTGCCCAGTGAGATATAATGAAGTACCGTGCATTATTCACATGGTCTGTGATGATGCCAGTGTAAATAAACCTGTTTAGATCTATGTAGATACACAAATACTGACCATTGTTACAATTGCCTACAGCATTCAGTACAGAAACAGGCTGTACAGGTTTGTAACCCAAGAGCAACAGGCTGCACCAGGCAGCCTAGGAATATTTAGTAGGCTATCTCAGCTAGATTTGTGTAAGTACACTCTATGATGTTCACATAACAATGAAGTAGCCTAATAATGCATTTCTCAGAATGTATCCTCATTTTTAAGCAACACACGACTAAATAAGCATATGTGGTAAGTGCTATTTCTGAAAAGACAGTATGAACACACAAAGGAGATGATATTTAAGCTGAAACCTAGGATGAGGAGTCGTCCATGCTGAGATCCAAGGAAAAGAGGCCCAGGATAAGAACAAGAACTTTTCTCTATTTCTGTATCAGGCAGATTCTAGTTTATCCAAGAAACTAAAAAGATTAGATTAATACTAAAAGATGAGGGTGGAGAGACAAAGGCAAACTAAGCAGGATTTTGCCCATTTAAAGACTGTATTCCTTGTAAGTTATGAATAAGGGAATTATAAGATTTCATTTATGCCTTAAAAGATAATTCTGACTGCTCTATGGAAATGGATTAAAGAAGAATTCAAACAGAAGCAGAGAGTCCAGTTAGGCTTCAGCAGACTTATAAATGCTACTCAAAGCATGGTCAGCAAATAAACCAGTGCCTGCCTAAGAACTTTCTGTCAACAGTCTACTTAAACATTAGAAACTTTTCCAGCCATATAGCTGCCTGTGTTCAATGGGTTAATTTCACTGAATAAACCATAGAGAAGTTCTCTGTCATCTCACTCACATGGTTAGTTCTATCTGGCATAAGTTGCATGCACTAAAGCATCCAGTGCTGTGTATCAAAAGTTAAAAAAAAAAAGAAGGAAAAAAAAATCACTACTCCTTTACTACAGACAATTTGGGAAACAATGGTATTAACAATTAATAACCAGGCTGAGAATAAGGTAGTAGAAATAGAGACAGATACGGCAGTTTCAAGATATACTTTGGAGTAGAACTAATAGGATCTACTAATGACCTTAATATGAGCAGAGCCAATGAAAAGTAGGCTGCAGGTTTCTGGCCTTAGTAACTAGACAATGATGGTGTCATCACTTGAGAAAATAAGAGAAAGTGACTGAAGTGAATCAAGAGTACCCTTTAGACAGGTAAAAACTTAAGATGCTTAAATGACATCCAGCAGAGACAGAAAGTAAGTGGATGAATGCCCAAGTTTAGAGCTAGAGAAAGCTTTAGGCTAAAGATAAAAATTCCAGAGCTCTTACCATAAAAATCAACATTTAAAGTCATGGGGAACTTACATGCGAAATACAGCCCTGGACATAGCCTAATTCAGAATTTAGAGTAGGAAAAGGAGGAGAAGCCAACAAAGGGTGGTCAAGCGCATAAGGAGAATTGGAGGAGAAGGGTATCACTGAGAGACTGAAATAAGGGGGGGACAAAGAGGTGAGCATCAATTTTAATAGCAAAGAGGTCATGTGTAGTCATCTAAAGAGCAATGTCACAGAAGCAATATGCACACACACACACACACACACACACAAAATGTATAGCTGATAGAAAAATAGGAGACCATCTGGATCAAGCCTCCTCCTGCTGAACTCCCATGCCCCCAGCTTTAGCTCAACTGGCCTTGCTACCTTGCCATATGAGGGTTACTTGTCTACCACTTGTCCTAATTAAGCTGTAAAGTTAAAAAAAGCAAGGATTGCCTTAACAACCCATTTTAAAAAAATCTCCTTCTACCCTCAAGCCACTAGCTTAATGCAACATTTGTGAAACTGAACTAGTTCAATATTTTTGAGTTTACTCAATATTTTACTAAATATAAAAATACTGCRTAAGAGATTGATACAAATACACAATGCTAATTATTAAACATTACTTTAATCTCTACCCATGAAATAGTATATGTAAAACTGCCTAATAATCATTCCACATTAAACTACCCCAATATATCTAGTATAACAAATCCTCTGAAAGTAATCCTCTAACTTCAGGATACCAAAACTGTGTCTATACTTTCTAGAAACCAAAAATACTGTAGGGAATTGGGAGTGTAGTTCAGTAGTAGAGTGCTTGCCTAGCATGCATGAGGCCCTAGGTTCCATCCCCAACACACACACACACACACACACACACACACACACACACATAGTGGGATCACATACGAACTTCATTAAATTTAAAAATGGAAAAGTCATTCAGAAAATAACATTTCAAGTAAAAACAATTTGGTTGTTTCACCTCCTTATAGTCTCCATTTCTGTTAAGTCTGTAACCCTCAGGAGTGTGAAGCTGCACAGTTGTATTGTTGATCACTTCTATGCAGCACTCTTGATCAGGAAAGCTCAGTGGGCGCACCCTACAGTATACCTGCAAAAAGAAAGAAAGCACTTAAAAGAAGTCTTACTTTTTTTCCWAATTTTTTCATTTAAGCTTCCCATACATTCATTCACCAACATTTGGTCTCTCAATTTAAGCGATCTACATAAATTTAAGAGCCACGAAAAGCAAAATCAAGCCAAAATTTATCAAATGCAAACATATATAATAAATATGAGAAAAGATTTAAGATACACATGAAATCAAAATAAGCTTGGAGCTTGGTGCAGCGGTGCATGCCTGTAATTCCGGTGGCTCAGGAGGCTGAGGCAAAAAAAAAAAAAAAAAAAAAAAAAAGCAGCCTCAGCAACTTACTGAGGCCCTAAGCAACTTAGCAAGACCCTATCTCAAAAAAAAAAAAAAAAAAAAAAAAAAAAGGGGCCGGGGATGAGGCTCAGTGGTTGAGTGTGCCTCTGAGTTCAATCTTCAGTACCAAGTAAACAAACTTCAATAACAAAAATACTAAATATGCAGCTTCTCTTCACCATTATATCATGTACAAATGATAAAGCTAAACTACTAATAATATAAAAATCTCTCTCACAGGAGCAGTGGTAGACACCTGTAATCATAGCTAATTGAGAGACTGAGGAAAGAAGGATTTAAATTCAAGAACAGCCTAGACAATTTAGTGAGATTCTTAAAAAAAAAAAAAAAAAAAAAAACTAGGAATGTAGCTCAGGGGAACAAGCTACTGAAGTGCATGCTAGCACCTGCCCAGCAAGCTTGAAACCTTAGCTTCATTCCCTGGTATCACAAACAACAACAAATAACTAAATGGCAAGTAGACAAGTAAAAGCTGTGAGAATTCTTCAGAATAGGGTGTCAATTAAAACTCTGCCAAATTAATCTAACACTTAACAAACAGTTAAAAAAAGAAAAAAGGAGCAGGGTGGGGAGGGAGAGAAGGTGTTTGAAGAAAATCTGTGTGTAAAGCACCTGGTGCCTCTGGCTCAGACCTAGAGACCCACTCCAGTGGCAGGGAGGGGAGATTTTAACATGCCTCAGAGCAAACCAACCCTCTTTTATTTGCTGTTGCATTTTAAAAGCAAGTTCCTAAACTTGAAATTAGTGAAGTACTTGCAATTATGAGGAGGCATTAAGCTATTTTTTACAAAAGTCTTTATGAAACTTGGAATCTGGGGCTCTCCTTGGAAAGTGTGGCATCAATTACTGCAGGCTGGTGGGAGAGGATATGTTTCTGAGCAGAAAGTAGCATGCTAAAGACTATCTGTTCTTTGACTTCACTGCCATATCTCTTCTTCCTTGTTTTCCAAACATATATATATATAAATATATAAAACAGAAAAGAACTGAATTAACACAAACAAATCTACAGAAAGACCTTACCCCAACTGGGTCTTTAAAGTTTGTTTGGGATCCTTTTTTCACCAGAGGTTTCCTAGGTGTCTTAGCTCTCCTGGTCACAAATAAAAAACATTTCAGTTCAACATAAAAAAGCAATAAACAAACAAACAAAAACTTCACATATAATTCATACAGACAAACTTCCTTCAGCTTATTTATTCCTTACAGTGCCAAAATACTACAACCCAAATAACATTAATAATCATCATAAATTGCTCTAGTAGAAGAGTATTTGTAGCATACATAACCTAAAAGCAATTAAAATTTGGTTCAGAACACGTTTTTGGTACTAAATGTACCTATTTTTCATTCTATATTTTAAATAACTTGTAGATTTTCTTGACCAACAATTTTACAAAGGCACTACAAATTTGAAACATCTACAAATTACTGACCACACTTATCTTTAAGGATATTTATATGTGTGCACAAGCACACACAGTGTCAACAATCATTATCAAGGCAGATTGACAATCTACTAAAATAAGTTKATAAATAATAAAAATACAGGCATAAGAATCCATTCTTTCATCAATATTTTTATCAATACTGCTTTCAAGGAACAAAATGCTCAAAATTATTACCCTCAATCTGAAAACAAAATGTGGTCCCAAACTGACAATGTCTTGCTCTCAATGTCTTTCTCAATAGAAAAAGATAATGTGGTATGGTATCACATTTTTACCTTCATGTTTATCTAGAAACTAGAAAARTGCTTAACAGTGAAATATTGGCCTTGACTGTACATTAGTAAATATTTTTCTCAAAACATTCTCAGATGAAACAGAAACACATTAGAGTTCTAAATGCATAATACTGTGTCAGGTTTATGTACTAACATGTCTTTTTTTTAATATAAAGATTTTGACTTGGTTAAAATCAAGAATCAATAAATGAATGGAGTCAAACTAAAAAATTTCTTCTCAGCAAAAGAAACAATCTGTGAAGTGAATAGAGAGCCTACATCTTGGGAGCAAATCTTTACCCCTCACACATCAGATAGAGCACTAATCACTAGGGTATATAAAGAACTCAAAAAGCTAAGCACAAAAAAATAAATAACCCAATCAATAAATGGGCCAAGGACCCCTGAAAAGACGCTTTTTAGAAGATGATGTACAATCAGTCAACAAATACATGAAAAAATGTTTATCATCACTAGCAATTACAGAAATGCAAATCAAAACCACTCTAAGATTTTGTCTACTCCAGTCAGAATGGCAGCTATTATGAAGACAAAAACAATAAGTTTTGGCGAGGATGTGGGGAAAAAGGTACACTCATACACTGCTGGTGAGACTGCAAAGTGGTGCAGCCAATATGGAAAGCARTATGGAGATTTCTTAGAAAATTGGTAATGGAACCACATTTGACCCAGCTATCCCTCTCCTTGGTCTATACCCAAAGGACAGCATACTACAGGGACACATCAATGTTTATAGCAGCACAAATCTCAATAGCTAAACTGTGGAACCAACCTGGATGCCTTTCAGTAAATGAACGGATAAAAAAAAAAATGTGGCAAATATACATAATGGAATATTACTCAGCAATAAAAGAGAATAAAATTATGGCATTTGCAGGTAAATGGACGAAGTTAGAGAAGATAATGCTAAGTTAGCCAATCCCCAAAAAACAAATGTCAAATGTTTTCTTTGAAATAAGAAGGCTGACTCATAGTGGAATAGAGAGCAGGAGCATGGGAGTAATAGAGGAACTCTAGATAGGGCAGAGGGGTTGGAGGGGAGGGGACCTGGGGTTATTAATGACGGTGGAATGTGATGATCATTATTATCCAAAGTGCAGGTATGAAGACACGAATTGGTGTGAATATACTGTGTATACAGAGATATGAAAAATCCTGCTCTATATGTGTAATAAGAATTGTAATGCAATCTGCTGTCATATATAAATTTAAAAAAAAGATTTTGACTTAGGCTTCTTTTTAAAACAAGCTGCCTTTTGCGGACAACTAGCGAAATGGTAAGCGCTTGAAAAGTCAGTGCTCTTCTTTACAAAAAGTACTTCCTTAACCAGGAATGATGCTAAGCTTAAAATAGGTCACGGACTTGTAAGGAATGTGGGCGTGGGCGTTTGTGGATGGGGGCGGGGTTGCCTGCGGACAAAGATAAGGAAAGTAACTGTTCTGTGAGAAGTGAAGGGCTTGACCTTAGGGCCACCTCACAGGGYTAAGGAAAGCAAGCAATGCTCAAGGATGTCGGAGCAGTCCGGGACTGGAACCACCTGACCCACACTCCGCTGCACACGCTCGACGACCCCAGACAGCACTAATTCCACAAAGTGCACTGTGGGAGCGGGGATAGCCAGGGAGGAAGAAGGGATCCCTAAGAAGGCACGGCGTGGGGGACGGTGCCGGGGCCCAGAGGATGACAACCCTGTCAGCAGGAGACAGGGTGTCGACAGAAATCCCAAACTTCGGGCCGACCTTCCCCAGCAGCGGGTTGCCAGGGGTGGAGGTGGACACCGGGCGCCGACGGAAGTCGGGTCTCAGGGCCCGGGCCCGCCAGAGCGGCCCAAAGCGGAGACTCCCACGTAGAGGCCGCGGCAGGACGCCGGGCTGGATGCAGGAAAGAAGCCCAGGGAGTCCCCACCCCGCGGCCGAGGCCCCCTCCGCCGAGAGCTCTCTCGGGTCCCGTACTCACGCTGGCTTCATGGCAGCAGGTTTCGTGCTGCCCAAACGCGTACGCGGGACACCAGGCTCTATCTGACCGGGGGACGAAGACTGCAGGGCGCAGGGCCAAGCCGCGGGGAGCTGTACTTCGCCTCTCAGGCGCTGCGCTCCWGAAAGCCCGGCGGCGCCGCTGCAAGCCCAGGTGAGCTCCCGCCCGGCGCATTTCAAACGGACCAATCAGCGCCCGCTCACGAGAAAGGGGCGGAGCCTCACAGGAAGTGAAAGTTCTGCCGGAAGTGATGCTCGTCTCCTAGACGACGACGCGGAAAGGACTAGCCGGGTGTGAGTGGTCGAGCTGGAAGGAGCTGTGAGTCCTGAAACCCACGCCCTTCCGTTTTCCGATGAGAAAACTGAGGTTTCCTTTCGGACATCACAAGAAGCTCTGTGGAAGCACTGTCGTCCCGATCCAGGAGTATTCTGTTATTGGACTGTGCCCTGCTCGAAGACTCGGGCTGTCTCTCAGGCTTCCATGCCAGTACATTGTCTTGGCTTTTCTCTTAGCCACCTTTCCTGGGTTTCCCTCCATGGTTCCTCCAGCCCTTTCCTATATATAAATCAGTTTATCAAATTCCTTTTTCCCCCGCTTTCTTTCCCTTTTTAGGTTGCCCACCCAAGTCCAGAGCAGGAACAAGTTGGAAGTTGGGGTGGTGGACTGAGGAATGTGCCCTCCAGTGAACTAGGCAGAGCCAGCCCAGAATCAAATGTTTTTGTGTTTGTTTTGTTTTGTGGTGCTAGGGATGGAACCCAGGGMTTCATGCAAGCACTCCACCACTGAACTACATCCCCAGGCCCAGGTTATCAAATAGTTGATTTGTGCTTGATTCTGGGCATACAAAACTGAATAAAATTTGGCCCTTGAGGAGCAACCACCAGAACTTACTCTTGTCTTAACATGGACTGATTCTATCTCACTTCAACCTTCACCCCTAAGCTGATGACTATCAAACATCCATCTACATCTGTGCTCTTAGGAATTCTAGCCCCTTCTCAGATTCCTACAGAACCAACACTGGTAAGTACAGTCATGATTTAATATCCTTGGCTTATATTATTGGACATTAGGCTGGTTCCAATATTTGCTATTACAAACATAGCTTCAGAGAATAACTTGGAAACACATCCTTTTATACAATACAAGTAAATACGTACAATAAATTCCTAGACACAGAATTGCTGAATGATGTTAGGAGCACTGTTCTCCTACCAGGCCTTGCTGTTGCCATCTTCCAAGCCAGTTTCCATTCCATCCCACTCACCTCTGTAAGTTGCAGATGTGATCAAGTTGTTCCCCTGCGTGACATCCACAGTGATTCCCCATTGCCCCAGACCCTCAGGGGCCCTGAGGCTCCTCCTTTCCAGGAACATCACTCATCCGTACCCCATGTATCCCTCCAGCCACGAGGAACTGCAGTGTCCTCACTGTGGGCCCTGGGCCCACACTCCATTCTCTCTGCTGTCACTYTCCTCCCTCCTTTCCTCTGACAACACCACATCTTCAGCAGTTTCCTGTAGATCTTCCAACTACCCTACTCACTGCACCTGTTGTTTCCGCAGTTCACATCCTAATTTTATTCTGACTTCTACCAAAAGTACCCCCACAACCTCACTAGATGGCATCATTGTATGCCTAGTGCCTAGCAGTGGTAGGTACTGCACTCAGGTTTTGAAGGGATGAATTTCATAGAACATTCCAGTGGAGGACACAGTCACATTTTACCTCCTCCAGGGCTTTTCTTCCAGACAGGTCTCCCTCCCTAGCTCCTATCCTTATTAAAGCTCTTGGTTTATTAATTTTCTTTAAAATACCAATTCATTATATCATTTCTGTATTCCAAAATGGCCAARGGCTCCCCAGAGCCAGCAAAAGATTTGCATTTCACTCTCAAATTAGAGATCTAGACCAGGGATGAGGGCACGAGAGTGGAAGTAGAAGAATTGGGAGGCTTCTTTTTAAAGTAAAATTCACCCCTTTTAGTTGTATTGTTCTATGTATTTGACAAATATATACCATCCTATAACCATATACCACCACAATCAATTGTATATTTCTTTCTTTTTTGGGAGCGGGATTGAACTCAGGGGCACTCTACCACTGAACCACATCCCCAGCCCTATTTTGTATTTTTATTTAGAGACAGAGTCTCACTGAGTTGTTTAGTGCCTTGCTTTTGCTGAGGCTGGTTTTGCACTTGCAATTCTCCTGTCTTAGCCTCCCCAGCTGCTGGGATTACAGGCATGCACCTCTGCCCCTGACTTCAATTGTATATTTCTATCCCACCAAAAAATTCACTTGCACTGCTCCTTTGTAATCTTCTCTTACTTCCAGATCTTGGCAACTGCTTTACTGATTCCCTTCACTA